ACATAAAAAGTATCAATAAGGTCTAAGTGATATCTAGTGTCAAGGATTAAACGATAAGTTTAACAGCTTCCACTGGAACATTCACTTTATTCCCCATGAAGACGAACTTCTCATTTGGGTTTATGGTTCGGTTGAAAGGAATCCATGCATCACATTAGAAACATGAGTCATACATCCAAAATCAATCCACCAAGTATTATGGGAAACTTCAATTGAGTTTGTTTCAAAACATACGTAAATACTATGCTCACCTTTCTTTTCGAACCAAGCTTTACGCTTTAAGCTGTCATTTTGAAAATGTCCAGACTTCCTGCAGAAATGATATTTGTCATTTTTTTTTTCTGAATTTTAGTAGAGGACTCGCAAATCTTTAATGGTCATTTACCCTTTCCATGTTTATTAACAACTTTCTTTTCAACTCCTTGATTTTTCACATAATGAATAGAGTGACTTCCTAGGTTCTTGAGTCTGGTCTCCTCCTGGACTAACATACTGTGAAATTCATGCACATTTCATTTGTCTTTCATGGTGTTATAGTTCATCTAGAACGGACCATACTCAGACAGTAACGAGTTCAAAATAAACTGCACAAGAAAATTTTCTTTCACTATTATTCTAAGAGACTTGAGTCTTGTCGCGATATTTGTCATCTCGATTACGCGTTCATGCAAACTACAAGAACCATCAAACTTCATGGTGATCAACGTAATCACCAATGTCCTAGCAAAAGATTTGTTAGCAGTTTGGGAGCACTCTTCCACAAATTTAATAAAATCTTTCGTGTCCTTAGTCATAGGAAGAGGAGACTTAATATTGTTTGTTATACTTATTCGCATAAACATAAGTCTAAGTCTGTTTGACCTTTCCCAAGATTTATAATGAGTTTTCTCTTCATTGCTACTAGCATCAGTGATAGTCAATTTTTCAACTTGAAAAGTCAAATCAAGATCCAACACACCTAAGTAGTGAAATTGGATTTGTTCACTCTGGTCAAGGAAATTTAACCCATTAAAGACAGAAGTAAGCGAATATAGAGATATAGGAATATATACTACAATTAACATATGTCTAACATTAACACTTTGAGTCATAAAAATTAAACATAAATACAGATTCAAACATAAATCACCATTTTATACATACTAATGTTCTCTTTTCAAAGATCCATTAATACATAAACATAATGACGCTAACAATTTTGTAACATTAATGATAATTAAAATATGCATAAACTAGAATCACTTAGCACATTTAAGTATATAAATAAAACTAGTAATATACACAAAATTATCTACTTTCATGCTCATTAATTATAATAATAGTTAATCAACCTTGGGTAATTCTGAGATGTCTTATAATAATGAACTTCAATTAACTCATAAATCAATTATTCATAATTTTAAAATTCATATTATAGGTAATTAAAATAAAATTATTAATAATTTAAAATCAAATAATCTTAAAATTTTAGCCACTTTAATTACTAACCAAATTTATTATAGTTAATTTTAAATAAATAATATCTTTAATTACTATTAATCATTCATAATATTTTTTTATTAATTTTTCATTTAGCAATAACAAAATGTAGATATTATTACAGAATAAAAATACATTATTTATATAATAAAATATCAACATTATAAAATAAAAACTATTAATGTTCAATACGTATGATTGATGCCAGCTCAATGTGTGCTACACTGCACTGCACCCGAGTGAAGTGAAGAGTAATCGCATGGAACCTTGAGAATTAATGGAAAAGTGAGCATGGAATATTTATATGCAGAAGAAGTACGTGGTGCTGTTGACGTTCCATACAAATTTCATTCCACAGGATAATCATATTCATCGGTCACTTTTCTTATTCATTATTTCAAATGTTTCCATATATGGGTTAATCGTGCGCATAACCCAACCCAATTACATCACTTCTCATTTCAATTAAAATTAATTCCGGATCATTAAAATAGATAAATCTCAAATTTATAATTAAAGTTTATCTTAATTTAAAAAAATATAATTTAAGAAAAAATTATCAACAAAAAATTATAAATATAGTAATTATGTTCTTATATATCACATGTAAATTAAGTATGTAATTTTCTTAATTTTTTTATTTATTTCAAAAAACTATTATATAATATCTTTATTTTCATCTAAATTAGGATTTATTTTTTTATTTAATTTTGAGAAAAATAAATTTAAAAATTTATTCAATTTTGAGAATAAGGTAGAGTTCATGCTAATATGCTAGAGAAATCTCAAATTCATAATTAAAAATTTTTTTAATTAAAAAAACATAATTTAGAAAAAAATTATCATAAGAAAGAAAATTATAAATCTAATAACTATGTTCTGATACTATGTATAAAACAACTATGTAGTTTTCTTAAGTTATTCATTCATTCCAGAAAATTAAGAATCTTTAGATTCATGATTTTCATATAATAATATAAATTATAATAAGAAGACTAACATTGTTCTATGAGATCGAACGAGAATACATTCTTAAATGTCTTTATTTTCCAATCTCATTTTTCTAATCTATCTCTTTATTTTTTGTTCTCTTGTCACACTTTTTTGATAGTTTAATGTGAAAAGAACTTTATGACTAGAGATAGAATCTTACTCCCTTTGTTAACACACTTGCATCAAGTTGGTTATCATAAATTTTCATTTTATTTTATTTTTATTTTATTCTAAATTTTTATAATAATCAATAAGTCTTCATATTTTATTAAATTACATTTTGACTCATTATTATATTTTACATGAATTACATAATATAATTAATTCTAACTATATATATTATTTAATAAATATCTAAATATATTTATATACGATCGGAAAAGAAAAAAATAATAATTTATTGTTCAGAATTCATTTTTCTGGTAACTGAATTCTAACTTATTTTTCACCGAGAATCGATAAACCAAATGCAGGTCAACATTCGGTTTTGAGAGAAAAAAAATGTGTGCTATCTATCTATGTAAATGTTAGACACACTATGTAGGAAAATAAATAGTCAAACAGTATTAGAAAAAAATTATTCTCAATCTGAATGTGAAAATTTTCAGTTTTAATATTTATAATTTTATCATTAATAAAAACTAAAAACATTCTCTTTTCTATGTTTTGATGGCATCAATAAAAAAAATTGAAAAGCAAAACATCTTTTAATAATAATTATTTTTTAGTTTTTAAAAACTAAAAAAATTGGAATTCTATTTTAATAAAACAATTATCAAACAAGTTTTTTAGTTTTTAAAAACTAAAATAATAAAACTTGTTTTTTTTTTTAAAAGTAAACAATTCTTGTAGGAACTTAATTTCATGAATGCAAAACTTTGTGTAAGAATAAGAGAACTACTCCTTATTTCCAGAGTTGATTTCTTTATATTCGATAATTCTCCTAAATAAATAATTTAACCCTTAAATTTGAAAAAAATGAACTATGAGAATGACGAATATCTCTCGTAAAATAATTTTTGTCCACCTGTCATTTCATGAAATTAGTTTTTAAAATATGATGGGACAAGAGTGCAGCATACACAAGAAAAAAAATGTGAACTACTAATTGAGAAACAAATTCAGACAATGAATTGCTGAAATAATGTGCAAAAAAGAATTAGAAGAGGTAGGTTTTTTTCTCTTGCGATCAAGTCCCTTTTTTGTTACACCGGGGTGGCCTGGATCTCACTCTGAAATACTACATTGCTTACACTAGTGAAATTTAGGAGCTTGGTATAATCGTCGCGGAAACTCAACTCCCAAAATTTACTTCATATTAAAATAATATCAGAAACATTATTTTTTTTAGTATACAACAAAGATCATTTGAACTAATTTCCACTAACCAAAAAAATAAATAAATACGAGATACTTAGAAAAAAGTTCTTCAACTTTCTACACTCTAAAATCGGGGCACACCTTTTGCTACCGAAATGTAAAACATAAGAGGGAAAGAAATAAGATGTTAGAAGCAATGCCTCTCAAATAATATGCGAGTTTAGGAAAGAGGAAAAAGGAAAGAGAGCAATCTAAAACTAAAATTATGCCTGGTCACAAAAACCAGAGGGCAGGGTTGGTAGTCGTATCAGACGAGAGAGGCTGCCAAATATAATATGGTTATTCGCGTAGGCAAATCAACAATTCTTAGGAGACATGTGTTTGCAGTATCATCATAGGCTGAATGGAACAAAAATGGGAACATCTTTCAAAAACGATGACGTTTATATATATTTGCACGTTGTCACCCTAGACTAAAGTCTACATTTGTATAATTCAACCAGTTTACTAGTCTAATGAGTTAACTAGCAAATTAAAAACCACAAGACTATTGTAAAGCAACAGCTGTCTAGCATTCATTACCCATGTACTTATGACAAGTAACATGAAACTTATTATGACCTGATCGTCTGCAACTCCATAGTTTCACTAAGGATCACACTATCTCAGTCCACACATAAGATGACAAATATTGCCATCCAATAAGGTGGACCATTTAAAGTTTCCTTTTTCTTGAGTTATAGAAAAATTACACAGATGGGATCTAAAATAATTTTATTACTGAGCATATAGTGCAACCTTCGAAGGTTTGTCCAGAGCTAATGGCAGAAAATACTGTATTACTTCCCTTACATTAGCATGATTTGGAAAATAGAGTCAGCTGAATCACAGCAATTTTGAGCCTAAACGATAGGTCAAATCGGGTGATGCTAATGAGATTCTAGCATTCACCAAATTGCTCATCATATATACTATACAGCAAATTTTGCAGTTAGAATTCAGCATCCAGCAGCTTCTAATGCTGCACTCCAGTGAGAATGAGCTATTCACAAAATATCTTGACAAGGCAAAAAATGACCTTGATTTCTGGTAACTTAAAAAAAAGGAGAAAAAACCCGATCGTTGGGGCAGGCAAAATAAAATCCAGCACAAAATAATGTATAACCAAGTTGAGTACAGCAGCATCTTGAAGATCCTTCCAAATTAGATCATGTCCCATAGTAGTCGCCCATGTTCTCAACAAGGTAGTCATATGGTGCAGCTAACCCATACTCGTACACTCCATTCAGTGGAGTCACCCTGTGTGAAGCTGAATAGACACCACCTATGCCAACTTTTGCATTAATTTTGGCTCTGCCTTTGGCAGCCCTTTTGTTGTCATGTGGAAACTCAGCCGAGAGTCTTCCCATCTGCTTCTGCAGATCAGCAACTGAATCATTAGCTAACTTTGTTTTCGAGTTCTTCTTACCATCAACAAGCTTCAGTTCCAATCGGTACAAGGCACATGCATCACACTTGCTAATCTCGTATTCATAAAGGTGCCACTCAAAATGGTTCAGCGGTTGCGGATCCATATAATAGGATCTCTTCAGCCCTCCAAACTCATTCATGACTTGCTTTCTGGATTCATGCCAGCCACGTCCACTATAATCTGGCAATGACCTTTGCTTTCTGTTTCCACTCTCAAATGCTCTACGAGGCTTATCGAAGAATAGCCACTCCCTAATAGTCTCACCCTCAAGAACAGACAGATCAAAGAGCTCTGCAATTAAAAAAGTGATTTGATTCAAGAAACAATAAAAACTTGTAGACCCTTGCACAGATAATTCTCTAAAAACTAGCCTAGACCGTCAACCCTAGAAAAGGTACCAAAAGATCAAAAGTACCCGGTGCATTCCACGGAGACTTAGCAGTTGCTGCTCCCTCACATTCTGGGATGCCAACATCTTTTCCTTGTGCCTTTGCACTAAGGGCAGCAAAAAGTAAATTATCCTTCAAACCAATTCCCCCAGGTCTTAGAACTGGGGCCATGCCTGGGGGCCCTTCGTTCAAAGCCAGGGCAGCATGAAAGCTACTGCAGTAGTCTTGACACCAGTCCAACCCTTGCGCAGGTCTTGGACAGTCCCAAAGTGCACATTTTGGGCCTAAGAAAGCAGAAGGAGGAGGGCAGATACTTGGAAGGTAGCTAGATATATGAGGAATAGCATCCTCCTCACAATAACCTGTACCATTAAAACCAGTGTAAAAGCCATGATCATAGTCCTGATGCAAATCAAACTGATGATATTCTAAAGCATGCTGCCCATCTGGATTGTTAGCTGCCATTTGAACACTTGAGGTGGAGTTTTTGCACTCATCAACCAATGGGAAATCATGTTGCTGTTGGCCCTGATTTACAGTTAAACAAGGAAACTTAATACAACAAAAAATGTATCTAATATTGAAAATAGACTGCTATTGAAATACTGGACAGAAATAACCATCAGAGCCTTTGCTTTACCATTATTTTGAAAACATTAAAAAAGGCATTAAGGAAAACAAGCCTAAAGCATATTGGAACAGAAAATAACCAATCAATTGGGTAGTAATGTCAACTAAGATCCAAAACAGTATACTTTCACTTGACTCAGTCACACAGGTAATCTATGAAATACTCCAACTTCTTGCAAGATAGGTCAAAAAGTGTATATCTTAGCAAGAAATATATATAATATATGTGGGAAATCAAATAGTATTTCAGGAAAGAATAAATCAGGAAATTTGTATATTTCCTTGTAATCTGTACAAATTTGAATAATTAGGAACAATCCCATAAATCAAGGGATCCTAGTATAAAATAGAGTTATTATATTTCCTAAAATAGCTTAGGTCTCCTGTATATATCTTATATTATCTCTTAATATTGATATAATAAAAATCATATTTCAGTTAATCTAAGTTTCCAGATGGTATCAGAGCTTCCGATCTAGGAAGCTCTGTCTGCGCGCGATTAACCCTAAGACGACAGCCTACATTACTGCTGCATTTTTCTTAACCCTAAGACGACAGCCTACATTGTTGTTGCATTTTTCTTAACCCTAAGATGGCAGCCTACATTGCTGCTGCATATTTCTTAAAACTAAGACGGCAGTCTGCATTGCTGCTGCATATATCTTAACCCTAAGACGACAGCCTGCATTGCTGTTGCATATTTCTTAACCCTAAGACGGCAGCCTACATTGCTGCTGCATATTTCTTAACCCTAAGACGGCAGCCTACATTGTTGCTGCATTTTTCTTAACCCTAAGACGGCAGCCTGTATTGCTGCTGCATTTTTCTTAATCCTAAGACAACAGCCTGCATTGCTGTTGCATCACACCTCCTTGCTATGATGTCAAGGGAAGAGGAAGTTGTGAATCCAAACCCAAAAACAGGGAATACCCAATCCCAACAATATGGAGAACTACAGAATATTCATTCTGCATATAGACTAAATGGAAGAAATTATTTGAAGTGGGCCCAACTTGTTCGTACAGTGTTGAAGGGAAAGGGGAAGTTGAGTCACCTAATGGAGTCTGGACCTAAACAGGAGGATCTCATGTTTACTACATGGGATGAAGAAGATTCAATGATCATGGCGTGGCTGTGGAATTCAATGATTCCAGAAATCAACGACACCTGCATGTTCCTTAATTCGGCAAAAGATATTTGGGATGTTGTAGAGCAAACCTACTCTAAAGCCAAAGATGCTGCTCAAGTATATGAAGTAAAGGTGAAAACTTTGGCAGCAAAACAAGGGAACAAGACTGTTACAGAATATGCCAATCAGCTGAAATCATTGTGGATGGAGCTAGACCATTAGAGTCATAAAAGCCAAATGTACTAAAGATTCAGCACTTCTCAAGGAGTATATCGAACAAGACAGAGTTTATGATTTCCTTGTTGGTTTGAATCCTGAATTTGATCAAGTTAGGATTCAAATATTGGGGAAGCAAAAGGTACCATGCTTCAATGAAGTGGTGGCTATTGTGAGAAGTGAAGAAAGTAGAAGGGGTCTCATGTTAGAGAGTCCAGCAGTAGAGAACTCAGCACTGGACCATAAAGGTGATCAGACTTTGGCCATGGTAACCGAACAGAAGAAAGGAGGATCAGCAAATGTGGAGAAGAAAGGTGATGGTCTCTAGTGTACCTACTGCAATAAACCTCGTCATACCCGAGAGAAGTGTTGGAAATTACATGGGAAGCCTTTAAACCGAGATCGAGAAGGGGGACACAAAGGAGGCTCCTCAAGGAAAGGAGGACAAGTTTATGTTGCTGCTGAAACAAATGAAGGAAATAATCTAGAAGTTGCTGCCCATCTTAATCAAGAGGAGATAGAAAGGGTGAGAACCTTTCTTAGTAAGCTGGAAAAACCCACAGGTGTGTGTTCTTTGGCATACCCAAGTAAGTTTTCATTCTCTTTTGGATCAAATGTCTCAAATACACCTTTTAACCATTATTGGATATTGGACTCTGGAGCCACAGACCACATGACACCATTAGCCAAACACTTCTCCACATATTCCCATGTCCCAGCAACAAGAAAATTGTCACAGCAGATGGAACCCTTATAACTGCAGTTGGTCAAGGAAATATCCAAATCAATCCTTTAATAACCTTAAAAGATGTTCTCCATGTCCCAAAGCTATCCACCAACCTAGTCTCTATACAAAAACTTATAAAGGATTTGTCATGTAAAGTTTTTTTCAATGATCATTGTGTATTTCAGGACAAGGATTCGGGAAGGATGGTTGGACATGCTAGAGAATGGAATGGCCTTTATTATCTCGAAGATCCAAGTCTGCCCAGCAAGAACAGAATTTCTCACTCCTTCATATCTGATTTTCCCATTCTTCCAGACTTAATATTTGAACCTAAACAAGATAAAATTGAAGTTGTAACAAGTGAAACAGGTCAAAGAATTGGTCAAGAAAAGGAAGCTGGTCAAGAAAGTGAAATTAATTGTGAAGCTGATCAAGGAGATGTTGAAGCTGACAAATTTGGTAAGAAGCTGGTGTACTCAAGGAAGACTAAGGTCATTCCAAGATCAAGCCATGTTCAAGAATCCAACTCGACTCCACAAACAGAGGTAACAATTTTTTCTCCAGCTGTACAGATTGAAATTGAAACCCAAAATGATCCTGACCTCCCAATTGCCATTAGAAAAGGAACAAGAAAATGCACAAAACAACCACTCTACCCTCTCTCAAACTACCTATCCTTTAAAAATTTCTCTCCTACCCATAAAACCTTCCTAGTAAACCTAAACACTACACTTCTACCTAATACCCTATCTGAGGCATTGTCTGACAGAAAATGGAGGCAAGCCATGGATGTAGAGATGGAGGCATTGGAGAAGAACAACACCTGGGAGTTAGTCATCTTACCAATAGGAAAGAAGCCAATTGGTTTTATGTTAGAACCTTAACATGGTATCAGAGCCAAAGCCTAACATCTTTCCAGTTATTGTCATGGGCCAAAAAGTTGCCCTTTAGTTGGGTCAAAAGTACCCTTTGCCTGGTTCGGCAGGCTTCGTTGGAAGGGGTGTGTTGAAAGTCCCACATCGCCTACCTCATGTCATTTGGTATGGTTTAAATACATGTTAGGCTACTCCACATATTGCCAATTGGTTTTATGTTGGAACGTTAACATGGTATCAGACCCAAAGCCTAACATCTTTCTGGTTATTGTCATGGGCCAAAAAGTTGCCCTTTAGTTGGGTCAAAAGTACCCTTTGCCTGGTCCCGCAGGCTTTGTTGGAGGGGGCGTGTTGAAAGTCCCACATCGCCTACCTCATATCATTTAGTATGGCTTAAATACATGTTAGGCTACTCCACATATTGCCAATTGGTTTTATGTTGGAACCTTACCTTAAAGGAACTCCAGGAAGAGGGATTCTATTCAAAAGGAATGGTAATGTGAAGCTTGAAGCCTATATTGATGCTGATTATGCAGGGTCAATTGTGGATAGGAGGTCAACTATAGGATATTGCACCTTTCTTGGAGGAAATCTTGTGACTTGGAGAAGCAAAAAGCAGGGTGTAGTGGCTCGGTCCATTGCTGAAGCAGAATTCCGAGCCATGGCACAAGGTATATGTGAGTTGCTATGGCTTAAAATCATCTTTAGAAGACTTGAGGATAAATTGGGAAGAACCTATGAAGCTCTATTGTGATAATAAGTCAGCAATCAGTATAGCCCACAACCCAATGCAGCATGATAGAACAAAGCATATTGAAGTAGACAGACACTTCATCAAAGAAAAGCTTGATAGTGGCTTGATATGCACTCCATATATGTCCTCTCAAGACCAAATTGCAGACATTCTTACCAAGGGACTGGGCTGCCATAATTTTGAAAAGATTGTATCCAAGCTGGGAATGGAAAACATCTATTCACCAGCTTGAGGGGGAGTGTGGGAAATCAAATAGTATTTTAGGAAAGAATAAATCAGGAAATTTGTATATTTCCTTGTAATCTGTACAGATTTGAATAATTAGGAACAATCCCATAAATCAAGGGATCCTAGCATAAAATAGAGTTATTATATTTCCTAAAATAGCTTAGGTCTCCTGTATATATCTTATATCATCTCTTTGTATTGATATAATAAAAATCATATTTCAGTTAATCTAAGTTTCCAGAATATACAAAAAAATACGTTCCAAAAATTGACTCATTAGATAGTTCAACCAAAAAACCAAGAACTCGTCAAATATATACTAAATTAATAATGCTTTATATATATATATATATATATATATATATATATATATATATATATATAATGCACCACAATAATCATCTCACTATTTGGGTGTTTCCCTCGGCCCAAGTTCAAGTTCAAATCCAAAACACATATACACCCTAACCCAGTCCAAAAATTTCAAACCACCCAATGCTACAAGTAACATTCATTGTTGTGGCAAGACTCGTCTATATGTATATATAATGGCACCACAACAACCATCTTGCCATATGGGTGTTTCCCTCGGCCCAAATTCAAGTTCAAATCCCAAACACACCAAAACACATAGACACCCTAACTTAGTCCAAAATGTCAAACCACCCAATGCTACAAGTACCAATCACTATTGTGGCAAGACTCATTATCAGAAAATTGCAAAGAAAATCCATGTTATGCTTGCAAAAAAAGTTCATCTTATGTCAAGGGTGGTGGTCAATGGCTGTTCCATGCAGCTTATACAACTTAACATTAAAAAGTTCAAGCAACCCATGGAACATGAAGCAATAATCACTTCAGGCCAAGCCTTATTTATTTCCAAGTGTATATACTGAAACAAATACA